CGCAATGAAGGTTTTTTTTTAAAAAAAAAAAAAGCAAAATGTACATTTAAATGATTGTATTTTTCCAAAATACAGTGCTATTTTTGATGTTAATTTGAATTTCTTTAAAAGGGGATCGTTAAAATTTTGCCATTTAATTAGTTTAGTAATTTTTTTAAAATGGGAATTCCATCAAATGCATTTTTTCCCCCTTCATCCCTATAAATTCTTCTCCCCAGACAGAGTCAGGAATGCAATAAACTGTGCATTTCCCCCTCTATCCTCAACAGTGATGAAGGTGAACAGCCAGCAATGTCCCCATACGAATCTGGGGGGCAGGAGTTTTAGCCCCCCTGCACCCTCCCTATAGGGTGCTTGGAGGGTGGGGCAGTTCCAGGGTGGGGGAGGGGTGGGGTGACAATAAGGGAGCGAGGGGGAAGTATTAGCATTCCATGATTACTCCTGTGCCCCTTCCTTTCACCAGCCAGGTGAGAGACATGCACAGTATCCAAGTACTTTCCCTTCACTCCCTGATAGTCCGGCAAACAGGATGAAAAGCAAGCCGCATCCCGGAACCCATGGCTGCTGCCCCCCTGTTCTCCCAAAATGCCACCCTCGAGCCAACCTTTTTCACCTGCCTGGTGATTCTATTTCCATTCTGTGCAGGTTTACAAGAAGCAATCCCATTCTAGGCACATCCTATTTTCCCAGCACAACCAAACCCTAGTGACCCTAATGCCGCTTTTAAAAGCTCTGGTAACAGGAAGCTGCATACTGAATTTGGTGGTCCTAGCTCTTACCATTTAGGAAGAGTTCTTGAACACACAGACAACTATAAAGTAGGTATTGTCAATGAAAACTGATTCTATTTACAGAACACACCACTTCAGAATTCTGGAATTGTATAATTACGATCTACACATGGAACTAATGCTTAACTTAAAAAAAAGTTACATGAACATATTTATTCCTACCCTCAAATACATACAACGTTTTTTCACTGAAACCTGCTTCAATGACAAGACTTGGCTCTTACCCAGTGCTTTTCAGCCATGGCTTTCCAAGTAGCAGACGGCATATTTACACTGCAGCCAGAAATGAATCTCCCAGCCAAGGTGCACGGCCATCAATAGGGCTTGTGCTAATGCACCAAAGACAGCTCTGGGCTATCTGATGGGACATCAGAGCTAGATATGCAACACTTTTGCTGGGTTTGCCACTGACCTGGGCCAGATCAATGCCTCCATTCCCCCATCTGTAAAACGGGCTGGCTGAACCTTCCTTATGATGCAGAAATGTTGGGAAGAGGAACTGATTTGGCTATGTCTAGATTGGCATGATTTTCCGGAAATGCTTTTAACGGAAAAGTTTTTAGTTAAAAGCATTTTTGGAACAGAGCATCTAGATTGGCACGGACGCTTTTCCACAAAAGCACTTTTTGCGGAAAAGCGTCCATGCCAATCTAGGCGCGCTTTTCCGCAAAAAAGCCCCGATCGCCATTTTCGCAATCGGGGCTTTTTTGCGGAAAACAAATCTGAGCTGTCTACACTGGCCCTTTTGCGCAAAAGCTTTGCGCAAAAGGGACTTTTGCCTGAACGGGAGCAGCATTGTATTTCCGCAAGAAGCACGGATTTCTTACAGTAGGAAGTCAGTGCTTTTGCGGAAATTCAAGTGGCCAGTGTAGACAGCTGGCAAGTTTTTCCGGAAAAGCGGCTGATTTTCCCGGAAAAACTGGCCAGTCTAGACACAGTCATTAGTGTCTGAGTTGCTTAGATGCTATTGCAATGAAGGGTAAACTGACAACACGTTACACTCTGAAGGCGAGTGAGAAATAAAGACATACCTTGAATAGCATGTTCTTTTAAAAAGCAGAATCCCACTCCAATCTCTGATATGGCCACACATATACATCATGAACCTAGAAGTGATGTTATGGGGGAGGGATGCAAACTATGGCTGGAGCTTTTTTAGGAGGAGTTGTAAAAGCTATAAATGTTGATGTGTGTGTCATCAAGATGCCTTGAATTAAAGAAAGCATCAATGAGGAAATTGGGACTCATGAACTACAACCCCTTTTTAATTATGAAAAGGTTAATCAACCCGTTGAAATAACCAACCACAACCGAGGTGTTAAACTGCTCGCTGGGAAATGGTTCTTTCCCTGTGTAATATGTAATCTTTTATTTTTAAAAATAGCGTCACTGAACTGATTGGTGAAATGGCTGTCAGATCACATCTGGCTGATTTCATTGTGTTTAGAAGTGACATTCCCACACCCTGGGTAGTGGAAGACATGACTGCACTCTGACCATCCCCAAAGACAAACACCACAGGAAAGTCCTGCATGCTTTGGCAACACCATCAGGGTGCCTGGCAAAGATCACTCAACACTGCCTGTCCTCCTTCCATCTCTGCTCTACCTTTTAATGCCTCAATGATAATGCGAGCTCGCAAGCTTGCTCTCTGTAATCCTGGTAAAGCAAAGCCAAGTAATATAAATGACTCTTGAAAGAGAAGAAAAGATTCCACATTCCAGACAGGCACAATCAAATGTGTCACTCTTACATTAAAAAGGAGGTGGCCCTGGGAGGCCAGTCCTTATAAGTCAGAAACAAGATTAGAACACTCTCCTACATGTACAGCTCGTGTAATTGGATGGTTAAAAAACATGATGTGAAACTAGACATTTTGAAGCCTTAAGTGATTTAGGAGCACAACGTCCACTGAAAGTCAAAGATTTTGAAAAATCCCATCCTTAGTGAGAGGCCTTGTCTATACATACCTGGAGATAGATGCTCTCGAGATATATCTTTCAAGGATTGATTTAGTGGGTCTAGTAAGGACCTGCTAAATCAAATGCTGAGGGTGCCCCCATGGACCCTGATTCCCATCAACTTCCCTTATAGCTTGCGACCTGATAGGGTGAGTTTCTCTCATCAACCTCCCGCAGTGGGGCCGCTGCAGAAATTCGATGTAAGGTACAATGACTCCTGCTATACTATTCTTGTAGCCCGAGTTGGGTATTTTAAAATCAAATTCTGCCCCCGCCCCATGCAGACCTGATCTTAGAGTGCTTGTACGCAAGACACCTGCACAACTAGACTCTTTCCTTCATCACTAGAAGCTCCCTCTAGAGTTGTGTTCTACAGGTGCAGTGAAACACAGACTGGGGGACACTAAACCAGACTGGGGGACACTAAAGATATTATTGCTCTTCTCAATCCTTGATTTCCTTCAAGGAGAACCGAGTAGGAACATAATTATGTAGACTGCAAAACTTTCATTTTCTCTGACAGTCAATTGCTGGTCATACAATGCTAAGTTTAACATGTCAATTTCATATGAATTATTTTCATTTAAATTAAACAATCGTGACTGAGAATTGCCAAGAAGGAAAGGACATTCGACCAGGTGTTTTACACATGCATAAATTAAGCCCTTCATTGCACAGGGGATAAAATCCTCATTCAAATGAGCAGATCCAGTGATTTAACTGGGAATAGACATTGAGCAAGGGTTGAAGGATGTTGCCTATAGGATCAGTACAGTAGTAATGATCAGGTATAAAGATGATAATTATTTTATTGCTGCTTTGAAGTAAGGGAAGTGGGGGACACTCACCAGCTTGGGACAATTTTAGACCTGCTGTTCTATGGGCCAGCATAGAGAGGGCTAGGGCAACTGCCAACAGTGTTTCTAGTACTGTAGCTAGCACTAGAAGCTCTAGGTACTTATACATTAGGAATGCAAGGACGAAGGGCACATGTATACTTACCGCACCACTGATAGATATTCTTGCATTTGACTTAGTGGGTCTAGAAAAGACTTACTAAATCAAATGTTGAGGGCATTCCCAGTTGGCACCAATACTCTGGGCAGTCAAGTAAGGGAAGCTGATGGGAGCATTTACTTCCATCAGCTCCCATTGTGAAGGCAGCACCAAGCTCAGTTTAAGGTATGTCAACTCCAGTTACGTTATTTACTTAGATGGAATTGAGTACCTTAAGGCAAACTTCTGGGTCTAGTATAGACCTGGCTTAAGTGCCTGGTTCCTGTGCAGTGGTGATGGCAGGGGAAGTTTCTATACGTCCTCTTCCTCATCCATACTTCAATGTAATCTGGCCCAAGAGACATAATTTAAGTAATCCAACACCAAGACCAGGTCTATACTAGACCTGGAAGATTGGTGTATGGTACACAACTCCAGATACATAAATAATATAGCTGGTGCTGACATACTTTAAGCTGAATCTGGCACTGTCTTCAGTGGGAGGCTGACGGGAGCAAACACTCTCATCGACTTCCTTCACTCTTCACAACTGTGAGGAGTACCAGGGCCAACCAGGGGCACCCTCAGCATTTGATTGAGCAGGTCTTAATTAGACCTGCTAAACTGAACCCAGAAAAAAAATCAATCTCCAGCACAGTAAGTACAGATGTCGCCTTAGAGGTGATAGTACTGGCTACATGGGACTTCGGTCAGTTTAACAATGCTACTCAGTGTGTGGATTTCTCACATCCCTGATCGCCAGTTAAATTAATCTAATTTTCTAGTGTAGACCAGACCATTGTGACACAGCATCAGCCATCATGAGATTTCTCCAGTTGGTAGCTAGTGACCAGGCCTATTAAAGAGCAAACATTAAATACAACTGCACAGGATACTGACAAGTCGCTGCTGCTCCCACCTGGTCTATATCCCTGTCACATTAATAAATAGTGAAAGAAAGAACGCGAGCTTGAGAAACTTGCACTATTGACAATATTTTTTGTTATGCTTTAAACACTAAAAATTAGGAATTCTGATCATGAAATGACAGGAAGCAAAATTCTGTACCAAATTGCCAATAGTTTGTAACAGAAGTAATGCCCCCCAATCAACTGGTACTGCAGCAAACAAGAGTGGCTTAATAACGAATAAAACAGTCGTTAAGTGTCCCATTGATTCCCTAAGGATAGCTGTATGAAATAACATGGACATCTTACACCCCCACCTCCACTGTGCAGACATCACTCCTCACCTCTTTAAGTCAGGCCCTAAAGTGCTTTCCTCAGCAAAGACAGTGACGCGGGTCATATGATGTGTGAAGGAATTGTGTAACTGGAGCTGTCAAAAGAAGAGAAAAAATGGAACTTCATAGCATGAAGGTTTGGATAAAGTCCAGTGTTGCATCCCTCATGGCTACAGAAACAGACACAGAGGGAAAAAAAATGGCAGGACATTTTAGAGAATGGGTGAAATTCACCCCGTATAGAGGGCCAGCACTAAGGCTATGAACCACTTACATTCCATTTGAGTCACTGGCTTGGCTTACCATCACTGAATATTAGCACTTATATCAGAACATTTTTTATCTTCCCTACTCCTCACAAACATTAGCTAATTCGCCCCCAGTAGTCTGCTGTGACATTTTGCAGAGATTGCTATCTGCCCTAGAAGGGGCTTCTTTGGATGGAGTCAACGGATACCTTTATAGGTGAATGCTGGACTTGTGCCGTTCAGGAGGAAAGGGGGAAGGTTATGGCCACATCTCCATGTAATCACACCAGGTTAGGTCCACATGGAGATTTTAGCTCTTGACGTTTTTAACCACTTTTGTTATTTACCCCAGGCACACTCCACCTTCTGCAAGGATTCATTGTGACGCTAACAGAAGAATACAAGGACTCCAATCTGAAAGTGCAGCAGCAGCAGCAGACAATGTGACATCCTTTCTTGACCTAGTCCTCTTCCAACAGGAAGGACATTTACAGGGAAACCCTGTCGCTGGGTTACATTAGTACAACACTGCAAACTCAAGTCTACCCCAGAGCACGGTGCTGAAAGTTTGTATACGGAGCTGAAATACCAAGGTGACTAACATACATGGTCCAGTCTATCTTGGAAACACAAAACTAGAAGGATTTAGTTAGGGCTACTTAGATTCCCTCTAAGCTGCGCAGTAGCCCAGCCCAGCAGCTGCTTAATGAGCCCCGCGCAGACAGGTGCTTGGCTCCACACACAGCTGCCTGGCTGCTATCACTGAGAAAGAAGTACCCCACCCTCAGCTACAGAAGCCAGGCAGCTCTGTGTGAGGGTAGTCCTGAGCGCCTGGCTAGGTGGGGCTCATTAAGCAGCTGATGGGCTGGGCTACCACGCAGTTTTTTTAAAGGAAACCTTGCTACTTACCCTATCTTTAAGATTAAGAAGAGTCAACATTAGAATCATGTATCGGACTCCACCCGTCTCCAAGTTTTTGGGCTTGACAACAGAGAAACAGGTCCTGCCTCTAAAGCCAACCGTGGGTTTTGTTTTGTAAGACAAACAAGGAAAAGCTAAAACAATGAGGATTTTGCATTAAAAAATGTTCTCAGCTACCATTTTTACCCATCATTTTTTTTTTTAAAGTAATTGTAGGGCCTACAATCCCCACCCATGATGAGATCATATTGTGCTAGGCATTGTATAAAAATGCATACATAAGTTTAAAGTCAGAACTTCGGGGGTTGGATAAAATGAGATATAAAATCCAAATCAGCCCTCACTTGGGTTTTTATTTCACCAAGCCCCAAACTGATGAATTAAATCTGACACTGCAGCAGCAATAGAGGCATCATGCAGATGTTTTTGGTTAGAGAAGCCAGTGGTTAGATTCTACTGAGAACTGAGATGAGTTTACCATGATCAGGGGAAGAAGAGGTGATGCAACACCTTCAGGCATAAAGCCTGGTTTTACTTAGCACTGTCAGAGCTTCACTTCAATGAACAAAACAGTCACTTAACAACAACCAGCATAAAATGCAGCCTGAACTCCCTAGCTTATCATAACCCTTATTAAGCCACTTGTGCGATGAGCTACAAAGAGACTGTATGTGAAAAAGAAACGTCATATTATCTGCTTGGGTAAGTGCGACCACAGCTTACCTGGTCCAACATCAGCTCATATGTTTCTCAGTTTCCCTTCTCATGTATTTAGTAGCTTCTGGAACTTGAAAGTTGCAGTGCTTTGGCCAGGTTAGATCCATCCCAGTCTTGGAGAAGAAGAGTCCAAAAAAACCCCAAAAAACAAAAAAAAAAACCAAAAAAAAAAAACCTTCCTCCCAGTCTCTTCATTGGGCCACAAAAGCCTGTTCCTCTTCTCTCCTCTCCAAGGCATAACACCAAATTACCATCCCTTAATTGCACCATTCTCTCCAAGTCCTTCCCTCACTCAGAGGTGTTACCCCTGCAAAGGCCAGGTCAGTCTTCCTTCTACTCCAACCTGAAGCCCTAGGACTCTATATCACAGGCATCCTGCTACCCAGAGGCTTCCAGCCCTGCCTCAGTCCTCTGAGGCCTTCTTCCCTGCAGTCCACCTGGAGACCTCACCTGAATTCAGGCCTTTCCCCCAACCTCTTTCCAGCAGACCTGTCCCAGACTGTTACTTACCCACAGGCCACAACCCAAAAGAAAAGCCCCCACTCCTGCTCTCTCACAGTCCTAGGCTGACCACAGAGGTGGCCTTATATAGGCCTACCCTTCCCCCCCCCCATTACCCAGCAGGGCTTGCAACCAATTTGATCACATGATCCTTCTGAAGACTACAAGTCCCAGGAGGGCTTTCCTTAAAGCAGCAAAACTTGGAATAGGCCATTAGGGCTGCTTAGAGCTGGGCCTGTCCTTGAAGTGAAGGACTTCCTTGTTAATACAGGAGAAAACATAAAACCCTACCTTCCATCCGTGGTGCTCTCCCACGAGCGCTGAGGGCTCTTACTCTGATGCAAGCAGTTGTTTCTGTTCATAAGAAAGCACAGAAGAACAAATTTGTTTCTAGTGTCACTCTATTAACTTCAGAATAGTAACACCAACCCCCACAGAGAATGTGGCCCGTTGTAAGTAAAAAAAATATTCCTAAATGTTTATGTTTTCTAGAGTGTCTAACATTACTCCAAAGATTCCCCTTAGTTTATATTCTTAAATTGTTCCATTAAAAAAAAAATGAAGACAAACCATTGCTATTTCTGGTTCTAATCTTCAAACGGCTGGATCTTGAGTGTTAGGTTAAAAAAAAACAACTCGTGGGGAACTCCAGCAAGTGAAACTGCCTACAGAGGGAGAGGGACCCAGGGTCTCCCCCTTCTCAGGGCCTCACAGATTGCATGAACACAGCAGATATAATTTCCTGAAGATCAGACAAAGTAAAACTTCACCTTGAGGAGCTAGTTAAGTAAATGTATTGAAACGATGCAAGTTTGATTGGGTCTTCCCTCACTCTCTGTAGACAGTCTAATAGCTATTCACGCTAATAGCCCTTCATGTAGCAGCAGAAAGGCTTTTGGCTGCTAAATTAATCCCATTCTCCTGTTTCCAGGGACAGTGAATTGCTAAGGATTAAACCATCCTTTCAGGGAAATGGTGACAGAGGAGCCAGATGACTTTTTAGCTATAAAATGAAAAGCGCTCCAGGACACTACAAATCTGCTCATTGTACAAAGTGATCAACCCCACTGCAGGGCGATGCTCCCACTCCGTGGGACACCAGTCCTCCATACAGTTGGCACCGTGCTGGGGGTATCGCGCACTCAGAGGCATGTGGTATTGGGACTTCAGCCAGAGGCTCCAACCCCTTAGGTTTCTATAGCACTCACAGGCTATGTCTGCACTGCCCCCGTTTTGTGCAAAAAAAAATGCAAATGAGGTGAAGTGGGGAATATCGCTGTGCCTCATTTGCATAATTAATGAGCCTCCATTTTTGTGCAAGAGGCTTTTGCGCAAAATGGAGCCATCTACAGGGCTCCTTTTTGTGCAAAACCCTCCTCTTGTGCAAGAGCTCCTTTTTGCACAGCAAAAGCCTCTTGTGCAAAAATGGAGCCTCATTAATTATTCCATTGAGGCACAGCGATATTCCACGCTTCACCTCATTAGCATATCTTTTTTTCAAAATAGGGGCAGTGTAGACATAGCCACAGAGTCTGGTGAATATCAAAGGCTTGCTTTACTGCAGCTGCCTAATATAAGCAGTGCAGTTGCCCTCAGCAGGATGGTTAAAAGTTGCCAACAAAAGAAATAAGCCCAACACACCCCAGTGAGCACCTTGGGGTGTTCCCACACAGGGAAATTAAGGTAGGGCTCTTCAGATCCAGTGTTCAAGCCACTTGCTCCTGCGGGCAATCACAACCCTGCTGGGACATACCCCAGGCAGAGTTTAGTTCTTTGGTCTGACCTGATTGGAGCCATCTATGTGGCCTTCTTATTTATAGCCTGCTTCTGGTGCCTGGACCCAACTCTGGGTGAAAATTGGGCCTGCAGCCCTTAATTTCCTAAGCAGTTATTACTCACACAAGTAGTGCCATTGAGTTCTGTGAGATGACTCACCTAAGTAGGGGCCACTGGATCAGGTCCTACATTCTTTGCGATTGTTCTTTTCCTTCAGAGTTATGAGAGGCTGACTATGGACTTCACCAAATTCTCACAAAATGGCCCATGGCTTGCAGCTTTGCAAAGATGCCACAGAGCTCCCAACTCCAATGCTACTGCAGAATTACAGGATACCAAGTCAGGATGGCAAGAGTTTGGTATCTGCAGAGCTCTGACTGTGATGCAGAAAAACCTTCCCCACCCCGTTCTCCTTCAAGACAAAAATGCAGATTTGTGTCTAGGCAAATGAGTATAAACCAGTGTTTCTTAAAGGCAGTTGGAGGTGTGCCATGGAGAACAACAGAGTTCAAAATGGCCACCCTTAAAAGGGCAGGCAACTTAGGGGTTTTTTGTCTTTTTTTTTTTTTTGCTTGACAAAATATCCTTGGTGTTCCTCATAAAAAAAAATTATTGTTTGGTGTTCCTCCATCTTAAAAAGTTTAAGAAACACTGGTATAAACAATGCACATGGAACAAAGGACATGGTTATATTCTAATTGGCTGTCTCTCCCCACTCTCTTCTGTCCTTCTCATCTGGGGTAGGACAGAAATATCACAAGATCCAATTCTCAGGGACGTCTTCTCAGACATGGCAACCTGGACTTGACCCCGGGATTCTGTCTCTACAGAGCCTTCTGATCCCTTCAAGCAACAGGAATCTCTGTCATTGGCCATGACAGATAATTGCAGAAGGAAGGTGATTTGCAGATCAACAGTTTCATAAATACAATGATAAGCAGATCTAAAAAAAGCCAGATTATTAAGTGTCTTGGTGTTTAGAACCAGCTTGGAGTTTGCAGTAATAATGGAACATAGGACAGAAACCTCTTTCTTCAATGGATGTAGCTGGCACTCATGTTGTTCTTCATAGCTTATGCTAGAGGAGGTGGTAGCTCTCTCTTGTCCTATGTACAGAGTGTACCAGTTTCCCAAGATTTCCATTGTCCTGATGTGGATTTAGGAAGTGCAGAAAAGCTTAATCATTCCACAGTTGAAAATAAACCAATAAATAACCATGAACTTTCTTTCCTCCCTTCATGAAATAAGGAGGAAACCATGGCTGTCTAGACTCACCATGGCCTTTCAGATGGACCGAATGCCATTTTGGTGCTGCTCAGGTATCACAGAGATGTGGGAGGATGCTATAAAGAGAATAAGACTGACAAACTGTTGTCTGCTGAGATATGCTGACTGATAGTGTTGTCACTGTTAAAAGTCTCCCAGCTACTTTATTTCAATACGTGCAACAGTCCCAAAGAATAGAGAGTACTAAAAATGCGACCAGGCAGCCTTTTCTTTTTATCCGATGCCACTCTGGCACTCCAAGTGCAGAAGGTGGGGGCCCACAGGAGACCTTAAAAATACCTTGCCTCTATTGGCTCTGCTTCCAAAAACTCCCCAGAGTCACAGATTCGCTGGCACTGGGAGAGAGGCTGGCACCATCAAGTGAATTAAAACCCTGAAAACCAGGAAGAAACACTCAAACTTCTTCCCAATAGATACCTCAAACTCTTTTACCACAAGAGAGCTTGAAAAAAGAAAATAAAACCACAGGAAACAAACTGCAGTCTCAATCGCTGACCCTTCATGCTAGATAGGCACACACACACACACACACACAGCCCCTCCTGTTACTTTTCAGGACACAAGAATCAAATCGTCATTTTAAAAAAAGTGACAGACTTGTCAGGCTCTTGGGCAAGGCAGGGGAGGGCCTAGCCCAATGTTGCAAAAAAAGGAAACATGATTCTGGGATGCATTAACAGGAGTATGGTGAGCAAGATTTGAGAAGTCATTCTTCTGCTTTACTCTGTGCTTGATTAGGCCTGATTTGTGTCCAGTTCTGGGCATCACATTTCAAGAAAGACTTGGAAAAAATTGGAGAAGGCCCATAGAAGAGCAACAAAAATAATTAAAGGCCTAGAAAACATGAGCTATGAGGGAAGACTGAAAGAACTGGGCTTGTTTAGTTTAGAAAAGAGAAGACTAAGAGGGGACAGGATAGCAGTTTTGAAGTATCTAAAAGGGTGTTACAAGGAGCAGGGAGAAAAAAAAATTGTTCTCCTTGGCCTCTAATTCTATAGGCTTAAATTTCTGCAAGGGAGGTTTAAGTTGAACATTAGAAAAAATTTCCCAACTGTCAGGTAGTTAAACACTGGAATAAATTGCCTAGGGAGCCTGTGGAATCTCCATCACTGGAGATATTTAAGAGCAGGTTGGATAGACATCTATCAGGGATGATATAGATGGTACTGGGTCCTGCTGTGAGGGCAGGGCACTAGACTTGATCTCTCGAGGTCCCTTCCAGTTCTAGTGTTCTGGGATTGTATGATTCTATGAAAAATAGTTACAAGAGAGATTACAGTGAAAACTAGCTATGAGGTCCCTGGTTTATGACTAGCTTTGGAAGAATTAGATTTTTATCAGTAAATGTTGTGAAATGCCAACTTCACCATACACACGCAGTCCCATGAAAAAACATTTCCAGCAACCATGACAGAAATGTACTGACAGGGAAAGTAAGAAAAACACTGCAAGGAGAACTTATTAGAGTTTGTTTTAAGGATATTTACTTTGCATATTTTGACATGTGATGACAATTTGTGTATTTATGGACACAAAGCTTTAACTTTTTGAATCTGTGTCTGCTGCCATTGGATTATTATTGTCTGACCTCTCCCCACGATTTCTCACACGTGAAAAATTTAAATACAAATCTAAACAAGTGCACAAAACCCATAATTTTGTGTAACTGAAAATTTAAACTAATAAAAATTAAAAAAAAAATTAAAAGAAGCATGAATAGTTGTACACATTAAAATCAGGCTCTATTTGTAACATTGCCTATTCCAGGGGTGGGCAATAATTTTTGGCCAGAGGCCACGTGGCCCTGAGCTGCCCTGGAAGGGGCGGGACATAAAACAGAAGGGGCGGGGCCAGAATGCTGCCAGGCTTCCCCACCCACAGACCATGATTAGTCTGAGGGTGGGGGAGCCCCTTTACCCCCCCCTTCCCACTAAGCACCAATGCCCCTATCAGGGAGGAGGAAACTTCGGGCGTTCCTCCCACCCCCAGACCAATCAGTGTGTGATGTCTCCTCCCACCCTGCCAGGAGCGTGTGGCACTTCAACGTACTACATGCTCCTGGCAGGGTGGAGGAAACTTCATGCGGTTTCCCCGCCCCCAAGCCCCGATTGGTCTGGGGGTGAGGGAGCGGCAGGGCCTCTATAAGGCTAGATAACTTTCAAACACCACCATTTGTCACGGTGATTTAAGCGAGAATTTGCTCACGGGGTATGCGGGTAGCAGATGAGTCCAGTGCTCTGAGGTGAGGCCTGAGAGGCAAGCAAACCCAGTTCCACCCCCACCTCAGCCAAGGACTTGCTGTTTGATCTTGGGGAAGCCATTTATCTGCTCTGGGTCCCTTATCTAAGGAGAAACTCCAGTGTTAGTTCCATTACAGAAGTAGCAAAGGGCAAAAAATGAGCAAGCAG